TGATGCTACACAAACACTAAAAACTATGAACACTTATTTGTTAAATCAGCTTTACAAATGGAGTTAAATCTGTGACCATTTCTTAGAGCAGGGCTCCATGGTGTGATTTTTCTGAAATCACGCAGAGTTTCATGGTTTTTCTAAAAAACAAAAAAAAACCCTCTTATAATCAGAGATGGGCAATAATGCGTTACTTGTAACAGTAAATTGCAGAAAAAGTAGAATTGGGCTGAAAGATCTATCGCTTTATCACCTATTCAGGTTGTAAATTGTGTTTTTAAAAAAGTAACTAAGTAATTACTTTTGAAAATAAGTAATCAGTAAAGTAACAGGATTACTTTTTGGGGGAAGTAATTAGTTACTGATTACTTTTTTCAAGTAACTTGACCAAAACTGCTTATAATATCTATAAAATGCACTACCTGTCAAACGTTTTCGAACACCACAACTAGCCTCATACCAGAGGGTGCTGCATGGAGCTGCAGAGTGCTGTGTGTTCTGGTTCAGGGAGCCTCTCACTCTGTACAAGTCACCGACCCTGGATCCAGCAAACAGCCCCAGACCATCACACTTCCTCCTCCATGTTGATGCCACACACTGTGGAACCATCCTTTCACCTACTCCACGGCGCACAAAGATCCTGAGTGATGAAACGAAGAGTCCAAATGTTGATCCATCAGTCAATGATACCTTCTTCCAGTCTTCAGTAGTGCAATGTCGGTGTTTCATGGCCCAGACAAGCCTCTTTGTCTTATTCTGACGTCTGGCTTTCTTGCTGCAGCTCGTCCTGTCAAACCTGCAGCTCAAAGCCTTCTCTTCACACCTGAAACTGAGACTTTCTCACTACGACCACTATTAAGCTGCTTGAAGCTGTTGTCCTGTGAGTCGCCTATATCACAGCTGTTAACTCTCAGGAACGTGTCCTCTGATTCAGTCGTGTCTTTGGGTCTGCAGACCTCTTCCTGTCACAGTTTGTTTCTGAGCCTTTGGATGCTGAAGGAAACTGGACTCACTGACACTTTGACTTTCTTTGCAGTTTCTCTGTCGGACAGACCGACATTTATGTGTTATGATGGTCTGTGTCTCTTCCACTGTTATTCTCACCATGTTTGTATCAACACACTACAGTACAGTACTGTTCAGCTGATGCCCATGAGGGTATGGTACCACAGTGTGCTCCAACACTGCTTCATGCAGACAGAGGGGGACGGAATCCAGACAAGTTGGAACACCTGTAGGAATTAGTAGCACCAACTTTCAAGGCTGATCAACCTCCAATACTGCAGAACAGCTTTGAATTGTTAACTCATGTTGTGTTCCCTGAAAAAGGCCTTTCTGTATAATTCTGACGTATACATTACATTTCAGTTTTGGGTAACCTTACCTTTTTTTTTTAACCTTTGGCAGTTTACCACTTTTGTACCATTTCAACCTATTCACTGGACTTGAAACACATGAATTGTGATAAATAACTGGAAGAACTGGGGTGTGTTTACTATATATAGTAAACCAAGATATTTTCACACTGTAAGCAGTAATTAAACATCAAGTTGTAGTTTGTACAGTAAATATAATAAAACAGCAAACAACTTTTATATTTATGTAAAGGACTTTTATTGTGAAAGGAGAGATCTGTTCCTGTGTGGAATCTTAATCTGCTTAAGAAGGTTCATGATTGAGCTGGAAGTATCAGCTCAGAGAGTGATGAAGGCCTGTAAACCAGAATAATCGAGTGTGCGATCGGGTTTTACAGTGTCTGTCCGAAAGCGGTGAGGCAGCTCAGACCGATACGAGGAGGCACATTGCGTGTTGTCCAATATAGTTTTATTCCACTTTAAATCTGAAAAACAATGTTACAAAGCCTGGAGGTAAATATGATGTAGGACACTCTATGCCCCCCTTTAGACTCAGCCCTGTAGGGATCACTGGAGAGTGGGCTGGCTGCCGTCAGCCTTCAGCGAGCTCTATAAATTAAACATTATATCAGACTCAGTTAACAATTCATCTGCAAATTTTGATGTAGCCTTACTTCTGCAGCTTTACTGCAGATTTTTCTGTAAACTAAACGGCGATGGGTGGAGCAGCTACAAAGTTTGCTTTTCTCCGTTGGTCAGCTGTTTCCAGGTTTTAATGGTGACTTCAGGAACAGCGCTGCTGTTTCGGAGGCTGTGCTTTCTTTCTTCCCACCTAAGCTCACTGTGTCGGTAACGCCTCTGCCTCTTTGCTCTTCACGTTGTATAAACAGACTCTGCCTCCACATTAAACTGTGCCAGCGTCATCATCGGTGCTGCTGTTATCAGTGTTTTAGGTTTAACACAGTTTATTATTCACACACTTCTGTTGTAGTCTGTAGTCAAAGTTTATTGGTCACATATCATGCACTGTGTGACATACGGCGAAATGCTTATCGCTGTGCAATTCCCGCCCATTAAAAATATTTGAATAAACTCAAGAATCAAAATGATGAAGGTGTGCAGATTAATGTATTTATTTTGTTATTAATTGTGTGTACAATGACGTGATATGAGAGAAACCAGATCAGAAGTACGTTGTTGTTATTAAAGTGCCGTCCGTTAAATGAAGAATCGAGGATTTTTTTTTTTTTAAAATGATAAAGTTATAATCTGAGTTACTCAATGAATCGTGCCGCCCGCCTCTTTAAAACTGTGGATGACGACGAGCTCAGAACACAAGGGGAAGTAAGAGGTGCGGCCTGCCTCTGGATGTTGTAGTTTCACCATACGAGTCTGAGTTACCTTCTCCTAAACAGGAGGTGAGAGGTCATTTTTGAACTGTACAAACACACCCAGGTTTCCTTGTGGAGATCAGGTAGGGACATTCCTCTGACCTCATTTCCTGGTGTAACGCTTTCTGTCGTCCCCTCAGATGTGCCCCTGTGGTCGAAGCTTCAGTCTGGTTACGTCCCGAACATCCAGGAAATGTTTCAGATCCTCGACAACCACATAAAGATGAACCAGGTGGATCACATGACCTTCACCTCCACTTAGAGCTACAGGTGAATGCACATCAAGTTAACTGCACACAGTGACGAGACTCACAGGAAGTTTGTGTGAACTCGGCAGGTGCGATCAGAGTATCAGCTTCACCTATCTGTTAGATTTTCCTTGTACTGATGCACGGAGAAACGCCTGACAGGTACAGACTCACCTGTGACTCCAAAGACTGAATTTAGTCAATTTAAGAGGAACAAAAATTCAGTCCAGTCAGTCCAGAGACGGGTGTGACACCGAGACAGGTGAGGCAGAGGCGGGGCCAGAGTTTGATTTACAGACAGAAACATTTCTTTAAGTACTTCAGGGAGTATGTTTTGTGAGATGGTTTCAGCTGTGCTGTATTCAGGTGTCTCTCTCTCTTATTACCTGTTCTGTGTCCAGGTGCTCCGGCTTGCTAGGCGTTCTCCTGATGGCGTTCATGAAGGCCAGGCCTTAAAACAGATTCTGAAGGGCCCGGCTGGATGTTCCTCGCCATGAACTGAGCACTCCCTCTGCACCGGCTCACCTTCAGCACTACAATACCAGAAAGCACTGCTGGCAGCCTTGTGCTAATTAGTGTGTAGACAGGAAGTAGATGGCTGTTTATGTGAAGCTTTTATTGTGAAAATAATAAAATGTTCAGGTCTGTTTCCTGCCTGTTTGTGGTTTTGCAGGTAAATGCACATGTCCATGCAGATCGAGCCTTTTATTCACAGCATGTTTACAGTGTGGCTCATTTATGACCAGAGAAGCAGCCATGACATCCCAGAATTCATAGCAACGCACTTTCACTCCAGGAAAAGAAACCTTGAAGATGGCTGACAAACTCAAGTAATAGATAGGTATGACTGACACAACTGATTCCTGTCAGGAGCTCGTCAGAGGCTTGCTGTGATCAGGCAGGATTCACATGGCTTCATTTTTACTTCAGTCACAGAAAGTCTGGGAGGGGGTAGGAACTCCAGGCCTTGAGGGGCTGCAGGTTTTAGATCTTGGTGCACCCGAATCAAATGATTACTTCATTAACAGGCCTCTGGAGAACTTAAAGACATGTTGAGGAGGTCATTTAGTCATTTAAATCAGCGGACATGTCTAAAACCTGCAGGACGTTGAGGCCTGGAGTTCCCCCCCCTGCTCTAGATTGTGTCTGCAGCAGGAACGTAGCAGAATGATTTTGGGCTTTTTTCATTATGTCTAATGAGGACAGTTTCACCTGTTCTCATTTATGTGACCTGCTGGAACATGCCAACATCAGTGAGGTGAAGTGAGTTTAGTTTGTGGATGGGATTATGATCCGTCTCATGGACGCTGTTTCCATCACAGTGTTACTGAGTCCACAGAGCAACAAACTCCACAAATGCTCCTTTTTTTTGTCACCTGTTTTATCAGATGACATTAAAAGTGGTGAAATGAGGCAATTTCTGCACTGAATCCAAAGAGGCCACAAAGGTGGAGCGGGCATGTGGTGATGATGTGAGCTGATCATCATTTCCTGTTTGGAGACATGAATCATCTGAAATGTGAAGGTTCATCTCTAGGCTCTTTGTGAAGAGTCTGGATTTTCCTACATCTGAGTTTCAATGGTTCAGGTAGACTGAGCGGGTCGGGCTTAACACAGTCGAAAGGTTCCATGTGTCTCTGAGTTTTAGTATCCTCATCAGTAACTACAAACAAAATAAATACAGTCATGTTTATTAAAATAAAACAAGTTCAATGTCCCAGGTCAGGTTCTCCTTTCAGGTGTTACTAATCCAATCCAATGTAACTTTGACATGAATATAGTTTGATTTCAGCGACTGACTGAGTTATTTAAACAGTTTCATTTGAATGTCCTGTGTTTTTATAGCCTTTTTCCCTGCAGTAACCACACAGTAACTGTACTTTTACTGCAGTACTTTGAAGTACATGTCAGGTAGTTCAGTCTGAGTACATAAAATAAACTAAACAAAACCATAAAGATATATATATTTTTTAAAAAGGTCTTCCCTTCAATCAGTGGACGCTGCGATGCACGCGGTGAGGCAGCAGGGGGCGCCAATGAGCCGGTGTTTTTGAACACTTCCGGTACAAAAGAAGCGGCTGTGAGACAGACAGTAGCTAACGTTAGCCTCTGCAGTACGTTTATTCGACTTAATTATTTTTTTTACTCTACTAAAATGTTTGAGGCCGGAAATCTGTCGCTGACACACACGCTAGCTTCACGCTAACGGTAGGAACCACAGTGACGAAGAGAGAGGTGCTAACGGCTAAAAGTAAACTGCTAAGAGGAGCAGTGACGGTGACAGCGGAAGCTAACAGTTTATTGCTAACAGTAAGTAAAGTTTAAGCTCAACTGCACACATGCCACGTTTAAAGTATCTGTGTGTCTGAATCTACTGTTTAAATCTTGAAGGCCGTGTTTCTAATTCTTGTAAAGGTAAAACTCCATCATCATCATCAGTGACAGCAGGGTCACTGGGTCACCAGAAGCGTTTCTTTCGGCTCCTGGTGACCTTAGTGTGATTCCCCCTGCAGCTCCACGAGTTTAGCTGGTCCTGGTTTTATGTATCAGGCTCAGATTAGGAACTCTTGACTTTCTGAACAGAGACGAAGCAGCTTCTGGTACGGAGAAAAGGTGCGAGTTTCAAAGGTCCCTCCTGTTTCCTTTTCCTAACCTCTTTTACTTGCCCACGGTGGAAGGATCATTGAGGTAAAGGAAAGGTGGGTAGGAGACATACGCTGAGGAAAGGAACGGCCTCACACTCGTTTCTTTTAACAGCGTGACACTGCAGAACATGAACTACAGATTGATTTTCTTTCATCCAGATCTCTTATCTAAATTCCATCGCTGTTTTTAGAGAAAAAAAAAAAAACGAGTAAAACCTGACTTTGCGCTGGGTTATTTTGGTTAGCAGCCTTCACGCTCCCTCCTTGGGAGTCACTAATTCAGCTGCTTCTGCTACCTCAGAGTAAATCTGTCCCATTGCATATAATATCCAGATGCGGCTGTCGCAGCACCTTTTGAAGAGGAATTCTGCAACTGCATTAAATTTACTCCATCACCACTGATCCCAGCTGACCTGAAGTAAACACAAACCCTGCAGTACCACAACAAAGGACATCACTAATGAACACTGATCATACAGAACCTTGAGCACACTTTGTTCATATAGATCAGGGGGTAGGCAACGCCAGGCCTCGAGTGCCGGTGTCCTACAGGTTTTAGATCTCACCCTGGGTCAACACACCTGAATCAAATGATTAGCTCATTACCAGACCCCTGGGGAACTTCAAGACATGTTGAGGAGGTAATTTAGCCATTTGAATCAGCTGTGTTTGATCAAGAACACATCTAAAACCTGCAGGACAAAGGCACTCGAGGCCTGGAGTTGCCTACCCCTGATATAGATCATAATTTTAGCTGGTACAGCGTTCTTTGTGCAACAGTACCTCAACAGGAAGTAGTTTTTATTCCAGCAGTGTGATGCTCAGCTGTGAGTTTAACCGCTGCTGTTCAAAACTATAAATCTATCAGCGGTGTATGGATGAAATGGAAAATGCAGTCAGAAGGAACATTTACATGATCCACTTTGGTCATGTTTGTTTTCATGCGTGGTCAGATGTTTTTTTTTTTTGGTTTTTTTTTTCCCCCTCCCCTTTCATAAAGGATGCTCCAGCGTCTCTTATGCTAAAGGAAGAAAGATACCTGTTCCTAGTGATGGCCAAATGAAGCTTTCTGAAGCACTGAAGCTTGTATTGAAAAATGGTTCATTACTCGAAGCTTTCCAACACAGTCCTCTCCGGTGACATCTGGTGGCGAATATTTTGAAGAGCAGCTTGAATCTGCAAAATAAAACGGACTGCTCAATCATCACTGCTCACTCAAGAGTGATATTGGGCCACCGTTCCGTTGCTTTGAACATGTAATTGGTTTTGTTTTCTCGATTGGGGGGCTGAAAAAATGTAATGCGTATTTGCGTAATACATCGTCACTGATTTGTAGAATCATTTTGATTCGATACAGGATCCGATTCAATTTGATTGGAATGTGGAAAGTTTTGCCTCAGTCAGAAATATTACAATTCTGGTCATGTATCAGTATATATCCATAATTTCGTATCTATTACAAGAAAGCTGACACATGTGAGACTTAATTAGAGATGTAAACAGAGAGTTATGAAACCTGCAGCTGCAGAAGCCAGCGAAGAAAAAAAGAGGCAAACACAACGCGGACCCGACGACGCACCAAAATCTGATTCTGACGCGTCGGGTCCGTGCTCTGTGTTCACGTTTGTATGCAGAGTCCGTAAACCTGCTCCCAGTTACAGTTTTAGCTGTATGGTGTTTTACGACATGTTGTGAGGTTTAACCTGAGATGCTGGCGTTTCAGGCATAATAACGTTAATTTACAAATCGACACAGGATTGTAATGAATCAATATCACTTTATTCAATTTAGCATGGATTGTAATCAGAAAGGCGATAATCAAAACCCACCCCTAATCAAGAACTTGTAAAGTAAAAACATGATCAATGTAAGGTAGCCCTTTTGTTATTTACATTTAAAAAGAGGATTAGTGTTACTGTGCGCTGGCTGAGTCTATTTCTTTTCTTAGAAATAGTTTCTCCTGCCCTGGAGAAAATCCACTTGCATGGAACAGAAGAGGCTGTGGAGTGCAGGAACCACACTGCAAGCTGGTAGATATGCAGGTATTCCTGGGTCCTGCAGACTATCACCTAAAAACAATAAACAAAATGCTTTTCTAAACTGTGTAGCAATGTAATGTACATATAGTGTCAAATACATTTTTGTAGTCTTCATTAGCTTTAATTCACATGGAAGTGTTCCTAAAGTCATATGCTGTAATGATATTTACATTATGAAAACATGATTTTGGACATTTCAAGTTTTTCACTTCGGCAGATAAAATGAATTGAGCAAAATCAACTCAAAATATTTCCACACGCCATAACGTCCTCCCTTCCTCGCTGGCTCCATATCTGTCAGTGGAATGATCACCTCTTCGCTCTCTGTCACCATCAACACACTCCACGAATCCCGTGGATGATTCACTTCCTTATATCCGTTTGAATCAGGTACCGAAGCAGTTACGTGTGTAATGAAGCTTCGGACGTCACTGGTCACGTGACTTTTGCCAAACGAAGCAAGCCTCGACACAGTGCTTCTGAACCAGTGTGTTGTTTTTTTCGACACACGCTCCGGAGCGTCAGCTTCAAGCGGGCCATCACTACCTGTTCCCCTATGAACAAGGATCAGATGGATTCATACACACCTGGCTGAGGTGTGTATGAAACCTGTGGGACTCTGTTCTTCCATGTTTTAGTTTTATTTTTTAAAATCTCACAGCATGGATTCATTAAAAGAATTGCCGAGGGTTGTTACTGATTGGCTGGAGGGCATCGTCACAGGTGGATCAAAGCAGACTGATTCATGTCTAAAACTGACAATCGATAACACTCCAGCTGTTACAGGTGCAGGTACCTGAGCTGTTTCTCTGGTCTCCATCCTCACCTGTGCCGTGAAGGTGAATCATTAAGTCAGAGATGAGCAGCTCTGTAAGTCATCTTCTTCTTCTGTGGTTTAACCTGTTCAGCTGTCACACTGTCAGCTGGTGTTTACCTGGTCAAGTGTGTTAAGCTCCACCTCCTGGTATTCTGTTTTCAGGTTCAGAGGAAGAGGCGGAGCACACAAAGTCCTCCGGTTTCTAGACACAACGCCAAGAGCGGGAGAGCTGCGAGTACCAGGAGGACGGCGAACGCCGACAGTGATCCCACCCCCCCAACAGAGACCATTGATGTGATGGACGGTCAGTCCCGATCAGTACACTCAGTTTCCAACTGATCGAACAGTCATTGATAGGCCTGCATCTACAGGTGTTTTCAGACCAGACCTGACTCATCTAGACACGCTCTCAACCTCTCGGCCAATCAGAGAGCTGCTTCTTTTTGAAGTAAAACTGAAGAGAAAAACATGTTCAGACCTCACCGGAAGTGATGTAAGTAGCAGGTCCTCACTGCTAAGAGAAATAAACATACCTGAGCTGTCTGCTGAAGGTGACCTCCCACACCTGAAAATACAGTCAGTGGGTTTCCTGGTGTCTCCTGATCACTGACACACCTGCAGCCCAGAGGAAACAAAATCCACCTGACAGTTAGAAATTCATCAGGGGTGTGATTAACACTTGACTTTAACACCTGAAACTCGCGACCACACGTCTGACACACAGGTGACCAAAAACGGGACAGTCACAGCTCTGTGGGGAACCTCTCTGCTCCTTAAAGTCGTTCGTGCTGGGCACCGCCAAATGGAGCCACTTTGGGTATAAAGAACCACAAGCTGTGAGAATCCAGATGTTTGACAGTGAGTGTTCATGCCCGTTTATCTCGATCTGTTTACCTGATTATTGGTTATCGATAAAATCACCAGACTTGGAGATGAAACACTTTGATCGTAAAGATGGAGCCACGTTACATCACTGATGTCGGGTAACGTCGAGAATGATGAATAGTTGAATCTCGACACTCGGTTTCATTTCTCATCTGCTTCGCTTGGACTTCGCTTGGCTTCGCTTTTTTTTTTTTTTTTTTTTTTTTTTTTAAATTATCTGACTGATGCAGGCGTACAGTGAATCCATTTCATCGCCACGCTGTTGGTCTGAATGGAGACGGTGCCGCATGTCAGGCTAACACAGGCTCCTCCCCTCTGTGTAAGTGTGGGCAGAGCATGTACACGAATCTGAGTTTGTGGTTGTGTGTGTGTTCAGGTGAGGAGGAGGTGGTTGTGGATCTCACCTGTGAGAGTGGAGCAGAAGCTGCTGCTGTGGTCGACCTGACTACCAACAGTGACTCTGTGCTGGTAACTCTCTCTCACACACACACACACACACACACACACACACACACACACACGAAGTGTGCTAATGTCTAATTCTTCTTCTGTGTTTGTTTGGTTTTTTTTGTTTTTTTTCCTGCTGTATCCAAAACTTCAGCTGGTGGATGAGGGTAAGTCAGACTTTGTGTTCCAAAGACTAGATTGAGGCCTGAGCTCTCACTAAGGAAGCGGTCTAATGCCTGTGTGACTGTTTTCACTCAGGTCCTCAGAACTGGAGACCACCTGTACAGAGTTATCTTGTTAGCAGCGATGAAGATGAAGACACACCCCCCGTCCTCAGTGCCACCCTCCTGCCACCGACAAACACCTCCAGGTGATACACCAACCCCTACACACTTTTATAATGTTCTTCCTCTACGACCCCCCCCCCCCCCCCCAAATTTTTGCACATGCCGAGGAGCATGTCAGGCTACGTTTCACTGTGTGTTATATACTATGCATGTGACAAATAAAGAATCTTGAACTTGAACTTCTGCAGGTGATACACTGACCCTGTCAGTGACCTCACTCAAATGTTTTTGTGTTTCAGGTCAACTCCAGGGACAATCAGCTGTCCTGTGTGTCTGGACGGATACTCAGAGGTCAGTCAGAGTGTGTGTGTGTGTGTGTGTGTGTGTGTGTGTGTGTGTGTGTGTGTGTGTATTCAGACTTTTCAGCATGAATAAAGCAGAAAAATGAACTTTATTGAAACAGAGTGCCAGCAGCGAGGTTCTTTCTTTATCCTGCTGCACATGCTCAGTGTGAGCTCCGAGGACGCTTCCTTCAGGGTGAGCGTGCTCAGAAAGTATACAAACACATAACATCCTTATAGAATATGATGTAACACTATAGATCAACTCACCTCAGAATATATAAACAATTACAGCAATATGATGCAACAAACACAGCAGTACTACTAATCCAAAATACTCAAAGCTTCATAGAACTGAAACAAACATTTATTTTTAGGTCCATTCTGCTGCTGATACATACTTTAGGTTTCTGAATATTACACTTGTTGCTGCCTTTCATAGTGTGTAACTTGAAGGCCCTGAGTACTTTCTCCCACACTGAAAACACTGGAATGATAAAATTATTTGAACATTACCTAATAAGACTGATTCAGGACAGACAATTAGTTATGTTAAACTTTTCTAGCAGTCCTTCACAAACAGGGAACAGTCTGTCTATTCTCTCCATCTGTCAGCTGCTGCTGGCTCTTCCTCCTCCTCTTCCTCACACACTGCTGAGTTTGTCCTGGTGGATCATCAGGGGTGCAAAGCCTCACAGATGATGTGCAGCAGTGGGTCCCTCAGTCTGTCCTCACTCTGGACACTTGCAGTTGTCACACATGGAAATCAAATGTGTGATAAGCTGCAGGATTCAAACACAAGTGTAACTTATAAATACATGTTCATACTTTTATTCCACAATCAGAGAGAAAGAAAAAGAGAGAGTGTGCAGGACAGACAGACAGGTGAAAGTCTCAGGTGTACACACTGCTACACAACAGCACAAGAGAAGGAGGATTTAGTGTTTGTGTTATTACGAAACAAGAAGAGTTCCCAGATGGTACAGTGGACACATGTGTGACTCCTGTGATTAAAGCATCTTTCTTTCAGCTTAACGAGTGAACCGTCAGCTCGTTCAAACACACGTTAAAGTTCGTTTGGCTCGACACCGCCGAACAGAGGCAGCAATATAACATAGCTAACATTAACAGTGCAGTGAATCCTGCTTGTGCCGTGATATTCAGGACTGCAAACTGAGCAGCATTCACTAGCTGTGTCCCAAAACCTAGGCCGTATCCTCCTGAGGCAGCACTTGAACAACGTGAGGTAGGCTGTCCCAAATTGAAGGCTCCTCCAAATGCGTCCTTCATTTTCCAAGATTTTGAAGGATGGGTCGGGTGTGTCTTTCGTGGCCCACCGTATCCCAGAATTCATAGCGCGGCCCAGTCAATTCCAGTTGCCAACAATGGCGGCTGCTACTTAGTTTTAATATTACTCTTATTAATCTTTCTGGGTCACAAAATAACTTTTAACATATTTCCAGGCGAGAATGTAGCTGTGTAAAGTTCAAATATCTGCTTTATCAAGACATCGCATATTTGCAAAAGTGCGACGTTTGTGGAGATGTCTGTTACCCACCAGCTTGATGGCTAGCTGGGAGGTCGAAGCTCACTAGAGAACAGCGGACACCCGGCACATCGTTATCAGACCTGCCGCCGTCTTTGGCTACTCAGGTTAAACATGGTGTGTGTGTGTGTGTGTGTGCGCCACTCACATGACTTAAATGTTATTGTTTGGCTTTTTTCACTGTTTTATTTGTTCCTGAGTAAATCGGTTTGGCTGAGATTAAAGTTATTAGATAAAATAAAACTTTATTAGTCCATTGGGAGGGTTCCTCGGGGGTTTTCACACAGCTGAATAAACGTCAAACAGAAAACTGATTAAAGTGCGAGATTCAAAGTGTTTATTGTCATGTGTGCAGAAGAAATAGCTTTTCTCTGTGCAATGAAGTTCTTCCTTTGCTGTCCATACAGAAGATGGTCGAGATGATTGAGAATTTTCTCCAGTGTCCTGTTATATTTTAGATAGCAAGGAGCAGATGGCTGAGTTTATTCATGCCCATCGAGATGGCTGGTGACACAAATCTGAAGGCTAGACCGTCCCATTTCACAGTCTCTCACTTCTGGGACACAGCTAGTGTGAGCTCTGAGTAACCTTCAAGATCGACTTTACAGCCCTCAGCTCGCTGCTGATTTAATGCAGGGGACGTTTCTTTCAGTGTGAGCGTGCTCAGAACAAATTGGTGTTGGTGACTCGAGTGTGCCTAAAAATAGTCCAACACAATGCTTGATGAAATGTGTGCTTCCTGAGGCATTGTGGGTAATGAAATACAGGCTTTACTACATTCACATGGCCACTGATCAATGAACCTAATCAATAAACATACATTTGCTGACTCTTATTTTGAAAGTTTCAGTCTGGTTTTGTGTTTTACTTTGAAAGTATTACAGTGACGTTTGAGTGCATTGCTCTGATTGGCTGTTGGTGTGTTGTTGTTGTTTAATTTCTGTTTGCTTTTTATTTATTTATTTTTTTTTTCTTCGCAGATTGTTGGGAGCGGCCGATTGGTCGTGTCCACCCGTTGTGGTCACGTGTTCTGCAGTCAGTGTTTGAGAGACTCTCTGACATCATCACACACTTGTCCCACCTGCAGGAAGAGACTTACTCACCGCCAGTACCACCCCCTGTACATCTGACATCACTCTGAGACCACAGCTGAGTCCTGCTGCCATTGGACCACAGGCCATGATGTTGATGTTATTTGCTGCTGAATTGTATTTTTTTTTTTTTTCTTTTTTGTGTGTGCGCCTCTGTTTGGACATTAAAGTGTTGAGTCATAGCTGGTAAACATGGATTAATGATTCATGTGTGTTGATTTGTTTGTTAAAGCTGAAATAAATTTTGATTTGTTTCACTCATTGATCAGCTGATGGATCTACAACGTTATGGCAGTAATGTGGAGAATAATACTGCACAATGTACTTTCTGTAATCAGAGTACAGGAAGTACTCGTACTCACACACACAGCACTGTTTTAGTCTGACTCTGTGTGTGGTGTGTGTGTTTGGGGGGGGGGTGCTTGCACTGATGAATTATGGGTAGTCAAGGGCGAAGATTAGGCATGGACGGAAGGGACATGTCCCCACCAGTATCCAGCGATTATTGAATTGTCCCCACCAATAATTTGATCTCTTCGAGTAAAGAAAATCAAACCCGATAGAAGGGGGGGGAAAAAAACGATCCGTCAACATCTCATTCACCCAGCGGTGCAGAAAGAGTTAAATTACGTCCTCTACTGGAGTTCTACGTCATGTGACAAATATGGCCAATGTGATTGCTGTGCCTTTCAGGGAGCTCTGTTTAGTTTTAGCAGTGGCAAGCCTGCGCTGCAAGGAGGAGAGGAGGATGGCAGCAAAAAGGAAGAATCTGGATATAAGTATTTTTCAAAGAAACCTGTAAGTCACTTAAAGCCAAATTCACTCATAAAATGTATCCCTCATAATAACTAGTGATGGGCAGATGAAGCTTCATGAAGCACTGAAGCTTTTCATCCAGTTGGTTCATCCCAGCGCAAAGCTTCTTGAAGCTTCATTTGCTCTAGTAGGACACCTACTGCACATAAAAATATTAGTTGGCATGAATTTGAAGAGTGTGGCCTTTTGCACACAGCCTGTAAATGTCAACAACAAAAGGAGTGTGTAAAACATGTATATTGTAGTGATGTCAGTATACTGTGTATATTTATACTGGCAGTATGGAAAATGATCATTTACTGTGAGGTGTGATTGGGGTGTGGACAGTAGTTGTGCTTTTGTAACGTTGAGGTATGGACAGCTACACACTGAGGCCTCAGTGTTGCCTGTTCACATTTTATTCTGTAAAAACTAAATTTTCACTGCTTTTATGGCCTTTTAGTGGGGAGAACATAGCTAGGATTTAACGATTTAACAAGTCTTTTAAATCGTTTGTCCTCCACAATGCTAAATGGCTGGGAGTCCTCAATCACCATGCTAACCAGGTCTTCATCTATTTGAGATTGTTCTCCTGAGGAAAGACAATAAAAACAAAGCACAAATATCACACACGTAACTTATAACAGTTGTATAATATTGTTATATCATGTAGTAACATTACGGCATGCTATATTATCATGGCATTTGATGGCTCACCTGGTATTGCTCCACAATCGGTGTTCCCCTTATTCTCATGCAAAGCTCTGTAGTGCCTAAGCATGGATGTTATATCCCAGCTCCCTGGCACATAGCAAACACTTCGCCTTGTACAAAAGTAAAGCCGCTTAACATAAATTGTATTGCACCATCAGTATTATGAAAATACATCTTCTGTAGAAATTTACATACCTTGTTGGGAGGAATAAAATCAAAATGTTCCCACACAGGGGAGGACATCCTCCTCTTCTTAGCTGGTTCCATTCTCTTCTGACTTTCTCACCTCACGCTCATAAACCTCCAAACTGTCTCCAAACTGTCTCCAAACTCTCACTAACCGCAACTCTCCATCAAACACCCACATTTTGAATGAAGTCTGAGGGGTTTATATCGCTGTCATAGCTCGCGGCAAAGTTCGAACCACTTCATGAACCAGTCACGTGGTACAGCCGGGCAGCGAGGCTTCGGACGTCATCATTTTCAGCTCCTCCCATAAATGAAGCAAGCCTCGATACGCGCATCGCGGAAACGCCCCCTCCATTACTCGACACAAGCTTCGAAGTCTCGATACCGAACGTCACATCACTAATAATAACGTTACAGGCTATGCTAGGCTTTGGCCCACATCAGTCTAAAACTGTATGTAACCATGAATAACGTGTTTTGGAAACTAACTGCACAACAGGCAGCACTATTAGTTTTCTCAGTCTCCCAGAGCAGCATTTCTAATTTTGATTGAAACTGTCAGAGAAAACGGCAGCCTCGAGCAAGCCAGGATATTAGATTACAGAGGCTGTTAAAATTATATGTCTAACATTAAAATGTTGGTGACACAATAATTTCATCCTAATGGTAGTGACACAGGCAGGAAATCATTCCTGCCTGTGGCCATCTCCCTGTACAACGCATCCACTTAACACACTGTTTGCTGCTACAACTACACATGTTTCTTTTCCAACTATTTATTTATGAGTGACTTATGTATGTATGTATGTATATATATGTATATATTGTACTATTCTTAGTTAGTGTATTGTCTGTCTTGTCTTAATGTTGGTTTAAAATGGAGCACTGTAACAAAAAATAATTTCCCCCAGGGATCAATAAAGTATTCTGATTCTGATTCTGATATTCATAGGTTAATTTTTGAGACAAAATGTCATGAGGTAGTCATGATTTTGCAAATATCCACCTTGTAGTGCAGTTTGCACAAATTGTTTTAAAAATGCACTCACCCTACAAACATTACTGATGAGTCAAGATCTGCACAAATTGACAGAAACACTGAAGCAGCTACACATTGTATTCTTATTGTCATGTATGTCCTATTTGTCAGGTGACAGAAGAACCAACACAAAGCTCAGAGAGTAATGGTGACACAAGATCACAGGTGAAATTGGATGATGACTTGTTGGTTCATTGCTGTATTTGAAGCACAGGTGTGACTGCATGTATTTGGAATGTCTCATTGAGAGACTGCACGCTTGAAGTACGCATTTTAAGTGCGGTTACGTCACCGCCACGCGACGACGGCTGTCCCAATTCGAAGTGTACTTCAAATGCATACTCCAAATGCGCCGTCGATTTCCCCAAATATCAAGCGTGGTCCGGTGCACGCTTCGTGGTCCCATATATCCCACAAGTCATAGCGCGGCGGTGGGTATGTATAATTTTGCCGCAAAATGAAGAGTTGTTTTTTTTTCTCCAAACTTTATTGAAACCATAAAGCGAACAGTCAGTCATTCCAGTTCAGTTTGTACAGTAGACATACAAGGCAAATAAGAGTAACAATATACAGTACAATGAAATAAGAAGGATAAATTAATAAAGGAAAAAAAAGAAAAAAGGGGGGAATGTGACAGACTCCATAACAACTTTGTATTTGAAAGTTGTGACGGCTCATTCGTTAAACATTTCTGAATGAATTTCAATCAATGATAAACCTTTTTTATTGGAAGTTAATTTAAGAGAGTTTAAGTAATATTCAATTTCAATCAAAAACAAATTAAATGATGGGGTTGAGTTTTGAAATTTACATTTATGTATGTGGAATTTCCCTAATAAGATGGAGCGGCCGAAGAGTGAACTGTCAAAAGTACTGAATATGACGTCACTTATTTATGTGCGAATGTTTAATAATTAAAGTCAGTCATATATCCACAAACACAACAAGCTGAAAGTCAGTGAGATATATATATATATATATATATATAATAAAAAAAAAAAAAAAAAAAATAATATAATATATAATATATATATATATATATTATATATATATATATATATATATATATATATATATATATATATATATAATCATAATAATCTGACAATACTATAATATTGGCCATATTATATTTACATTGCCACAGTGACTTTAGTCTGATGAAAAACATTAACTAATTGTTATTTACTAACTAATCTTAAATGACTGTTCAGCACAGAAATGAAGCCCAACAATCATGTTTTACAGTCCCGTGGTCTCAGCCTCAGATACTCAACTAATCAAAGTGATGTCATGACAAAAATGAATGACCAACAAAACATTTTTCTCCTTCATTTCTGTCAAACAAAGCTGTATGTAACGTGTCTCGCAGTTAGTATCATGGTTGCTTGGCAACCTGAACAGCGCGACGAAGTGTATACCGTCCCATTTCACAAGCCTCTCACTTCCGCACTTCTCGTACTTATAGTACGCACCGTACGTAGTACGCGTAGTGCGCGTACTTCAAGCGTGCAGTCTCTTAATTGGGACACAGCCATTGTTATTCATTTAGGTGACAGAGGCAGCTCTGCCATGTTGTAGCACAGAGGTGAAGAGGCGAGGTGACGGGTGACTGACTGATGATTTGGTGCTATAGATTAACTAGTATTTATTAAATACTAGTTAATATTAAATAATTATTAACAATTGTTAGGCTGCTGGTGTAAATTGATTCATTAGTGTTTATTTGACAAAGAATCTGAATTGACATGTCTCACTTTTTATATGGCACGAATCAATGTGTTATTTTATCAGGTGGCAATATGTCCTAGTGCGGTCAGAGGGGAAGAGCCAGGGCCAAAGGTGAGGCACATCAAGCACACAATAATAATTGTAATCTGAGGATAAAACGCATGTACTGAGGCTGAAAGAAGCTTCAGTGCTCTCAGAAGACTAAAAAGATAGCTAAGGTCCACCAGGAGAGACTGGACAGTATAGATGTAAAACAAATATGCCAGCAGTTTATCTCAGTTAACGAGAGGAGCAGGCATGTGTTTGGCTCCTTCACATAGAGGACATTGAGTTGTTGTGTGGGACACCAGTAGTCCATGTCTGTTGCTGTGACACTAGTTCATGTTTAGAATAGAAAATCTCAGCTCACTGATTTGATAGGGGCAATTGTGTGCCTAAACCACCAGGTCATTCAGTGTTCCCTTAGTGCCAAAATATAACAGATGTTGGTGTATTATAACTGAAGTAATGATGTTAAGTCCTTAAAGTCATATTCATGAAGCAATTTTTATTTTTGTATGATACCTGATTTATATGGATTATGGCTGAAGTAAACTAAAGCCTAAAATACTTAGTCATTTGTTTAATAGTAATTTAACATCATATAATTCACATATAAAACTATAAATTGTGATTTTAAATGGTTTAAAAGCATGTAGAATAGCATATGTAGGCAAGTATATTTCTCCGCTTTTTATTAAGAAGCAAAAACAAAAAGGAAAAAAAAAAAAGAAACAGGGCAGGGTTCAGTGGTTGAATCATCCGTCCCCACCAATGCCAAAACCAAATCTACACCCTTGTGGGTAGTGGATCTAGTCTTGTGACTCTGCGTCACCGTCTCCTGTCTGCAGTGACTCAGAGTCAGCTGACTGAAGAGTTGCTGCTGATTGGCCTAGGCTGACAGAAAAACAGTTAAGTTTAATAAACATGAAACGCGTCAAAGATCAATAAATCAGTCAGACCTGAGAACTTGGACACTCGTTTTGAAGTTTTAAACTTTATTTAAAATGTCCCTGAGTGTTTACTTGGTGTTTTTAGAGATAAAGGTTGAGTTATCAGTTGAAAGGTTTTATTGTCCAGATTTCAGGACCAGGTTTAAAACGCTTCAGTCACGTGACCATGAGCATATCTTTGGTTTTGATTGGAGAGTAAGCAGCAGAGCCCGAATGATTGATTTATTAATCCAATCCCCGTCAGCTGTGAGCTCTGATCAGTCCGCCTAATTATTGATGATTAGTTTCATATCGAAAGCCTGCTCTGTGATCAGGTGTTGAAACCGTCTTGTAAGGATGACTTTGCGATATTTTATCATGAACTTTAAACAGGTCACATGACTCAGGGAAAGTACCTCATTGGAAAGCCGCTGAGTCATTCCTCGGTTGCCATTGGTCCTGTGGGCGGGACTCTGAGAAAAAGCCAATAGAAGGCCGAATCTGTGTTTACTTCCCTGACGTCACAGACGTCGTTTCCCACGTTTGTCGCGGAAGTAAACATAAAGCAGAGCGAGAGATTTCAAAGTGCGTCACAAACTCACCAACTCCCGGACCTGGACACCTCTCAGCGGACATAGACATAAACCCGGCCTCCGGTTGACTATCAGCGAACAACACGCAGACATACACCCAGCCTCCGGTTGACGGTCAGCGTACAGAGACACAGGTGTACCCGGTGTCAGCGGCAGGATGTCGGTGACTGTTAAGGCCTACCTGCTGGGGAAGGACGAGGCGGTGAAGGAGATCCGCAGGTTCGCGGTGGATCAGGACGTGTCCTGCAGCTTCGAGTACCTGAGCAGGAAAACTGCGGACGTGTTTGGAAACCTGAACAACTTCAACCTGTTTTACCGAGGTGAGCGCGCGGGGGTTCAGATGAGGGATTTACACTCTGACCGCTTCCTGGATTCTTATTGATTGTTTTAAGTTGTGACTGTGAGAGTGAGGACGTAACTGAGTTAGTGCGCAGGCGCACACTCACCTGACCAGACTCACCCGTTTCCCTGTAAACACATGAAACCGTAATCAGTTGTCGAATTAATCTTTATTTATAGTCATGTAAACGGACAAACACCCTCAAAGTTAGTCTGGAATTATAAAGTCACCTGCAGCCTTTGTAGTTCACCAGTGTGTGACTAATGATGATGATGGTGTTGCAGATGAAGATGGGGACCTGGTGGCCTTCTCCTCTGATGATGAGCTCATGATGGGTCTGGGGTGCATGAAGGACTCCACCTTCCGCCTCTTCATCCGAGGTATGTTTGCAGTTTGTATAAATGTTATTGCTCGCGGTATCCGTCCTCCAGCTGTGGTAATATAGCTTCATTCTTACAGAGAAGAAGGAGCACAGACGGGACTTCCCTCTCCATGCTTTCCCTCCCTTTGCCTTTGGGCCTCCCCCTCCCCCTGCTGGAGGTCCTCCACCTCCCCATGCTGGAGGTCCTCATGCCCCACCCCATGGACCACACATGGGTCCGCCTCCTCCTCATGTGGCCCCACCCTACACCATGCACCCCAACGTTACCTGTGATGGCTGCGATGGCCCTGTGATTGGAACCCGCTTCAAGTGTTCAGTGTGTCCGAACTACGACCTCTGCTCCTCCTGCCAGGCTAAGGGGAAGCACACTGAGCACGCTCTACTGCCCATTTGGCACCCACTGCAGGTGAGTCTACCTGTGCAGGTCTGCAGGTGTCCTGTTCAGGCCCTTCAAAACATGACTGTGAGGCTGTGTTTTACAGTGGTTTCCTCGGGGGAAGTGGATGAAGAGGATGAGACACTGCATGTGGAACCTGAACCAGAACCAGGCTCAGAACCAGGACAACGACCCGGACCAGAACGAGTCTAGCCCTTCCAAACCTGTTGCTGATGCCAACACCCCCTCTGGTGAGTTCTGCCATCTTGGTTAAAGTGATACTTGATCAATAAGTCAGATCAGAGCAGATAAGGTCAGGAAGCGATGTACAAGAGGGAAAATGCAGCAACATTTCAAAATAAAAAGACCACGTGCGGACTGAATGGTCATGACATCAGAGCCGCGTTTGTGTGGCCCTTTAAACATCCTGTCACAGCACTAAAATAATGTTATGTGTGACATCTGTGTGATTTTAAAACATCTTTTATTTCTCCCTGCAGGCTCTCAGACCAACGTGGACTTCCTGAAGAACATTGGCGAGGGCGTGGCAGCCATGTTGAGCCCACTAGGTGAGTGTCAGTCTCATTTAAACAGTTGTTTGATGCTGTAAGGTAAAGACTATGATGTCACTGTGTTTGTGCATGTGAGATGAGTGAACATCTCTAGCTGGCTCTAAAACAGGAAGTGGTGTGTGTGTGCTTTACACAGGTATCGATGTGGACATCGACGTGGAGCACGAGGGCCAACGGACCAAGGTGACCCCACCTACTCAGAGTGGGGGGGGTGAGGGCGATGAGGAGATGGAGCATACGAGCAGTGAGGGCGGGGCCAGTCTAGGAGCAAAGGTAACTTTTAATTTTATAAAACCTCAAAGTGCTTCATGATGTAAATATCAGAAGAAAGAACAATCAGCTGATCCTGACGGGACAGCAGGGAGGAAGAACTACCTTTTAACATCTCCTGTGACCTTTTAGCGTGGTGACCCTCAGGTGAGCAAGGACTCTGATGAGGAGTGGACCCACCTGAGCTCCAAAGAGGTCGACCCCTCCACAGGTGAACTGCAGTCCCTGCAGCCCGACAACCAGGAGCAGGGGCCCCTGTCTGAGGGGCAGGCGGGCCCCAGCGGGCTGAGGGAGGCGGCACTGTACCCACACCTGCCTCAAGGTAAGCTGGCATCCACACTCTGTGACTTTAGTTCTGTTAGTACTGACCTCTAAACCCTGCTGACCTCTTGCCCTCAGAGGCTGACCCCCGCCTGGTTGAGTCCCTCGCCTCGATGCTCTCGATGGGCTTCACTGACGAAGGCGGCTGGCTCACCCGCCTCCTTCAGGCCAAGAACTTTGACATCGGCGCTGCGCTGGACGCCATCCAGTATGCCAAGCAGCCCCGCCCACACTAGCACTGATGATATCATCACGATGTCACAACATGCATCTGATTATTTCTGCTCTGTTGTCTGAATGATAATCAATACTGTCCATTAATCAATGTTTCTGTTCTCTTTATTGATCATCATATAAACGTTTCTGTGTGAGCAATAAAAGCATGAAGAAAAGCACAGTCTGTCAGAGTCTCCTCTTTAGAAACACACAAATGCACAATCACTCCGGGAGACGTTTAACAAGGAAGTCGTCGTCAAAGTTAAAGTCCTCGCCGCTGTCGAACATGGAGGTAACAGGAAGAAGAGGGCGGGGCCTGCTGATTATTCCAGAGCAGGAGGGAGCAGCGACACCACTTAAAGACTGACTCCACTCACCAACTGCAGGCTTCTCCCCCTCCTGCACCTTTGAGTCAGGGCTGAGGAAATTAGCCCACCTGGTGGTGAAGAGGGTGGGGCTACAGGTGTTTATGGTTGAAGGTGTTTGGAGTTTCATACAGTTTAGCTGCAGAGAAGAGCAAAGGTTAAAGGTCAAGTACATGAGGAGGCATTCTGCTCTTCTCACAGTCTGAAGGTCATGGGTCTGAGCGCTGAAGGTGAGCAGCTCTGTTTACCTGTTCAGATGTGTGGACATCCTCTGGTCCTGCTTCCTCGGCTCGCTTCCTCTTCCTGTCACAGGTCAAAGCGATGATTTCAGTGTGATTAGTGATGCTGAACTCTAAGAACTCTTTGTGAGCCACTCATCATGAATGAGTAATGAACTGCTGTTCCTCCAAATGTCTTTAAAAACAAGTCTAAATTTATGTGGGATTTTCTCTGATCCACACAGGCTCAAATATGTACGCAAACCTCCACTGATATTTGGTTTAATGCTCCTTAGCAAGTTCCACATCGACCCCATGCTTCAACAAGCCTCTTTTCTAACAACATTCACACATTCACACTCAGATGGACGCATCGGAGAGCAACTTGGGGTTAGTATCTTGCCCAAGGATACTTGGCATGCAGACTGGAGGAGCCAGGGATCAAACCACCAACCTTCCGATCAGTAGGCGACCTGCTCTACCTCCTGAGCTACAGCCACCCCACAGATAAAGATGAAGGCGGTAACCCCAGCGAAGACTGTTTCCTTGAATCTTATTGAATTGAAACAACTAGAAGCTCAGTGTTCCAACATTCACATGTTAGGGTACAACACATATGCTACGGTAAGGTTGAGCCAGGACAACAGGATGAGATTGGGTACCAAGCCCCAAGTGGGATGGAAGAAGGATAGCTGTGAGAGGACCTGAATGACAGGATCATGGCGAGGCTTGAAACCTGGATCCTCCAAAGATCTACCAGATGACTATCCAGCTGATGCTTGTACAGGTGTTCCTGTAGTTCTTCTTTTATCGTCACTCTGTTCTGGCCAAAACTTTTAAAAATGCTGTACAAATAAAGCTGACTTGACTTAAATCTTTCAGTAACTAAGTTGAGCCGGAGGATCAGAGACGATCCTAAATTAATTCAACAGTTCCTTACCCTAACATTCATGCCTGTGATGATGATGATGCCTCCAACAACACCTGTCAACATTCACCTGTCAGTCATCTTGATGCCATGGAGCTGCCTTCGATTTCCTAAATCCTTCTCCTCAGGCTCTGCCTCATCGTCTTGCTCCACCTCCTCAGGTGTGTCCAAGTATTTGCTCCAGCGGCTCACCGGTTCGTCTGTCTGCTCCTCATCCTCCTGCTGCTCCTCCTGCTGCTCCTGCTCCCTGTAAACGGGAAAGACCTGTGAAGACCTGGTGGTGTTAAAAGACGGCGGGACTACAACACACAGTGGAACTGAAACCTGGTTACCATAGTGACCAAGAACGGCGCTCTTGCTCCTCCATCATGGCTCCTCTCATGGCGTTTAGTTTCTGAACGTGACGTCTGCAGTCTGCCGCATTGCCCCGCCCAAACTCCTACCGATCAATCAGATGAGATCGATCAGTCAGAGGATAAACTAAGAGCAGGCTGGTAAATGCAATGACGTCCTCACACTGAGCTGTTTATGTGACCTTTGATTGATAAGAAACACAGTTTATACATTAATGATACCCATGAACCATCCTGCGTGACACCCACGAAGACTAGCCAGAGAACAGAAAGTACAGCAATAAAGGTTATTCAAAGCAGTAGGGTACGAGTGAACAGAGTCAACAGGTGTTTTCTTTCTGTTTGTTAATGATCAATATAAGGTTTAGAACTAAAACATAAAAGCATGAATCGATGATATTGTTATTGATAAAGCGACTGATAGATTCTGACCTTCAGCAATGACTGTTTCTCTCCACACAGTTTACAGCTCCACTTTCTCGCCTTCTTCACCTGTCAGACAAAACATAGGGCAAAGAAATAAATGGACCTCATATTGATCTTCTGATTTTTATCCGTGATTGTTATTGTGATCCGTAGCATTATTGATAAACGATCAGCTGTTAATATCAGTGCCCTAGCCTATGTACCTATGTAAAGTTTTGGAGTGTTTACACTGTAAGGGTGGCGCTGTCACTTGGTGTTCGCTCTCTCTGGGGTAGAGTATCACTTCCTGTTCCTGTTCTAACACACAGTGGTGTTTTTGTGTAGCTTATCTGCATCTCCAATTTAATTCAAACTTCTAGATAATTTATTTCATAGTGTAATCTTCGCGTGCTTTGTGCAAGTGACAACACTCTGTGTTGATTCACCCGCTAATGGTTTTCACAGTATTCACTCACTAGCTGTGTCCCAAAACGTAGACTGCATCCTTCGGAGGACCCGGCCTTCGCGGTCTACTTGGGCCGGGTCCTAATCAATAATATAAATCAAATTAATTTCAATTACATTTGGAGAAACAAGCAACATTATATTAGGAAGAATGATATAGTGAAGTCATTTGAAGAAGGAGGTTTGAATGCGATTGATTTTGAAGCAATTGATGGTTCAATGGATGTTAACATATAACAAATTCATAGATAAATGTGCCATATCATGTACTCAAAGTAAATTCATTAAAGTTGTGAAAGCCATTCCCCCTGCAATGACTTAGATGGCTGGCCAGTTTAACCTATTCTTCCTCTATAATTTGTGTCCTTAATAATCAATGATCGCCAATTTAAAGGAAAGGCACGCAATAACAATTTTTTAAAGACAATTTTCACCAAACAACTTTTCCCTTCTCAACTAAAAAAAATATTTAGAGATTATAATTCAAAGTTTTTGACTATCTTTCCAATTCCACCTAAAGCAACAGAAAATCATTTTAAAATTTTAAATTCCATATATCCGTCCAACGACTATCTTCAGAAGAAATTCAATACAAACACGCACTTTCTGCAATACTGATATTGAGACTACAGAGCATCTTTTTTATTCATGTGAAAGTTCCAGATCTTTTTGGGATGGTTTTCAGTACTGGTTAACCTCTAAAAATATTGACTGCACGTCTCTAACTTTTCAAGTAATTATTATTATTTGACCTACGAACAAAAAAAAAAAAAAAATAGAATTTGGGATTAACAACTTTACAGTCGCAAATTTTTTCATTCACAAATGAAATTACTCCGATTTTTGCTGGCTTTAAATATGAAATCCTGCTGTGGAAGGCTTCATTAGACAAGTGTAACCTAAATAAAGTTCACACCTTACTTGAATTTTTGATTCAGCTTTTTAATTGATGTAGCTAGATTGTATGTGCGTACCTTTGTTTTTTACTTTTATATGACAGGTCACCTTACCTATGGAAGCCCGTTTCCACCACTAAAAGAAAAAAAAAAAAGGATATTAACTCGAAATTTCGACTTATTTTCTTGAAATTTTGACTTCGAAATTTCGAGTTACAGATCCTTTTTTTTAAAAAAAATTTTTAGAGGCTGCTTTATGCTGTTTCTGGCCTATAATGTTCTTTAAATGTTCTTTGTTCGACGACTGCTTTGTCCTTAACCACTTATACCTGTATGTAACTTTTTGTTGACATGTAAATTAAGAGCTTTAATTAATATTTTGTTTGACAATAAAAAAATAAATTTAAAAAACTCCTGGGATATCGTCACGTGTCAGCGCCACAGGAGCACCTCAGGTGACTTTGATTTTCTGGCGTCACACAGGTGAGCGTGGATACGGGTGCCTAATGTTTTGTCCACCATCACTGATGATGACTTCATGTTATAAACAGCGCGCGTTCACTGTGACGTCAGTGTGAGCCATCTGAGAACGGCTCCATTACTAATAAATACACTGATTCTCCAGCCTGAGAAAAGCACCTGCATGCTAACCCTGTTAGCCTCACGCTGTCGGCTCTCACCTGTTGCACCTGGAAGCTCTGACAGCGGAAACACCTGACGATGTGAAACTCCTGACCCATGGCCTCACGGTCCCGTTCTTCCGGTGTCCGTCCGGACTGTTCAGTTTTCGCGGGTCTGTTTCAACCCGGGTTCCACGTCACAGCTTGCGTGACAGCAGTAACGGCCACAGTAAGCGCGCCCCCTGCAGGCCGGAGGATGACGTGTTTCGGGGGCGACTCGAGGGGCTCAGCTCCCAGTCACATGTCAGGCGTATGTGGTCTTCTAATTAGTATTAGCAGAATATGCTGCTTGCTAATGTCGTCTGCGCCTCACATTTGAAAACAATTCATTCAACTGGGACACATGACAATGCCGTCCCCAAAAGCAGCCTTCTTAGTTTGAGGACTTCAGAATACTTTATTGATCCCTGGTGGAGACTTAATGTAGAGTCTAGGAAAAATCTCAATAATATACACAGGTTTTATAGTGGACCCTTTAAATTCAGCTCAGTTTAATTTATACATCATCAAATCACAACAGCAGTCACCTCAAAGTCCTTTATACTGTAAGACCCTACATTAATACTGATCATGCGAAAAAACGTCTTTTTAACAGGAAGAAACCACCGACAGGCTCAGCCTCTGTAGAGGAATACAGAACACAAAATGACTAATTAAGGGAATTGGAATAAGAACACCAAACCAGAAATCAGAATCAGGATTAAGAAAACAAAAATAAATGAAAAAAAGTTTAGGATCCTTGACTTGGGAAAAACCCTGTTTTAGAGTGACACTAGCAGCAATATCGCATGCCTTCGACTGAGAGTCGAATCCATCCAAGCACGCTCCAGGATGAGTCTAGTAGAACAAAATATCAGCATGTGACCTTACCTGGTGCACAGGTGAGTCTGACATCTCGTTTTACTTTATCAGGTGAAGTTTGGCTCAGTGGATTATCACCAGAACTGCAGGTAACGATTTTCCCACGCTCTGAAAAAGTGTGTCACTTCCTGCATCAGTGCTGAGGTCAGAGGTCACATGAACCTACAAACACCTGCTCACCAGTTTATCAAAACGAATCTACTTTAAACGTCTTTTCTGAAAGTGTAACTGTGTCATTAATAAAAATCTTATAAACCTGAAGTAAGACGATGAAGCACGAGACGACCTCTGACCTTTGAGCCTGTCATATGTTGCACCGACCCTTTAAATGATGACATATTTCTCAAAGATGACACAGCAGCGTAAGAACTTCCTCCAGTATTTATTAGAACAACAGATCAACACAGTGAGTTTAAAATCAGGTCAAACACATAAAAACACGATGACATCATCACAAACAGAGTGATGTCATCACACAGGCAGTGGAGAGAACAAACAAGGCTTCAAAGTAAGAGTCCAGGTGTAAACACACCTGGTGAAATATGGCGTCTTCATCGTTATTGATTATAAACCATTAGTACTGATCATAAATCTTTATTTCACAATAAAAGTCTGATGCAACTCACATGTGTTTGAGTCTTCTACAGGGGAACTCGCCAACCATTTATCGGTTTCTGTTTCCTGTTCACTGATTGGTCCTGCAGAGACACAGGAGCTGATCAATGAATAATTCAAAAGATGGATCTATACAGCGTTGTGGAACACTTCCTCCAGCTCCTTCACAGTAAAACACCTCAGTCACAATATAAGGGCTTTTATTGTGAAACATCTAAAGGAAATGTAGACCTTTAACAGATCAATGCGCTTATTGATTGATCAGATTGTCTCTAATCGATAAGATCTGAAACACTGAAACAGGAAGTTTAGTCTGCAGGACCCGCCAGCCAATCAGAGTCACTGTAACATCATCAGAGAGGCTCCAGTCCCATGATCCACTTAGCTGATTACATCGGTTACCTGTATGGTGCACATGGACAGGTGAGGGAGGTGCTCAGGTAGAATGCCGCGTGAGTTCATGGTCGGAGGCGGAGCTTATCTGGCGCTCCACTGCCCGCTGAGCCTTGCAGGCGGCCATTTTGGCCTGGATGTCCCTCTTCCTTTCAAAGTAGTCGACAAGCGGCGGCTCTGTCAGCATCGAAGCCAACACCTGCTCAAAGGTGATCGACCAATCCGTATCCAACACGCTACCCTGCCTCTGCTCGCCGCCCCTGATCAGCACCGTGTCCTCAGCGATATCCTCGCACTGCAGCGAGCCGGCACTCACCACCGAATATGAAGACACTGACGCATCATCTTTTGTTTCCTCGTCGGACATCTGAGGCACCACCACCTCCAGCTGGGCGTCAGCCAGAGCTCGGCACACTTCGGACTCACCAGACGCCCCGTGACCAGGCCCCTCCTCCTCCCCCTGAGGGCTGTGGGGCAACGTCTGAGCAGAGAGCGAGGTCTGTGGCGTGGTCTCGCGCTTCTTGGTGCCGTTGTTGAACTTCTTGCCCACTTCACCGATGCGCAGCAGCAAACTGGCAACCGTGGCGATGGCGTGATAGAGCTGCTGCTCAAGAGCCTCCTCGCTGAACATGTTGTACAGAGTTTTACACAACTCAATGAACTGCTCCTGCACGCACAGACATACACACACACACACATATATATATAAATATATACAATAACAGACACACAGCTGTACAGGATATTTTACTTGTATGCTTGTTTGTGGCTTCCTCTCCCCACCAGGACTAAGAAAAAAAACACTAATTACTTAATTTTATTAAAATTAATCAGTCTCTCTGTGGCGACCTGTCCAGGTGCACGCTGCCTTTAACACCCCCTTAGATACCTGGTTTGAACCATCCTTGCTACCTGGGTGTCACACTTGTGTCTGTAAAAAAACGGTGTAACACCTCACATTCTCACCTGGTTCATCCTCGGCAGGTCTTTGATGGTCTCTCTCTTGGTCTCCTTCTCCTTGGCCCACATCCTCAGGTAGTACCTGTAGTCCTTCACCTCTAAAACAGACCAAAGGTCAGGGGTCAAACGATTGGGCCAAGCCTCAGAGTGATTCCTCCTCCTTAAAGACTCGAGTCAGGGAGGTCAAGTTACCTTTTTTCTCCTCACTGTCTCCATCTTTTGGCTCCTCACCTGTTCAGATAGAGATCATCATCATCCTCATTATCAAACTTTGGGGTTAAATGTGAGAATGGAACAGACGGTCTAAAGATGGATGAGGTCACCATGACCTCATTTTCCAGGTTAAATTCAATCCTGAGCTGACGGTCTTCTAAGTTTAGCTAACGCTGAGGAATTCACCTGATAGCTTAGCCAGAAATTTTCAAATTATCTGCTAATGTTATGATCATCATCACAAAAACACGAGAAAAACATTAGAATAACTTGGCAGCAGAGTAACATCCCTAACCCTCAAACCAAACAGACACAAACCTGGTGTCACTTCCTGCTGCCGCAATGCATTCTGATCAGAGAAGTAGGAAGCTTCTGGAAGGAAACATCACAGGAAGAGGAAGAAGGAAAAGAGGAAGGAGAAGCAGAGTGAAATGTTCAGGTGTGTTAATCCAAGGTTTGTTCATGCAGATTGATCAGTTTGAGTTAAGCTTCATGCAGACTCAACGATTACCGACAACCACAGGATCCTCTCTGAACAGCAGGGAGGAAGAACTCCATTTTAACAGGAAGTGACAACAGATGTGTGTGTGTGTGTGTGTGTGTGTGTGTGTGTGTGTGTGTGTGTGTGTGTGTGTACCTCGAGGTTCCTCCTCGGTGAAGAACTGCGTGGCCTCTAGAGCAGACTCCGCCTCCTCTGGACACAGAGCTAAAACAAACAAGCAGCAGGTGAGTCGCAGGTTCTCCACCTGTGGTTCAGTCTTTGATCCATTCAGTTCTCACCAGCTCTCAATTTACCACCCTTCAAAACCAGGAGACCCCACAGAGACCCAAAACCCGACTTCGACCCCATTCACACCTGGTCCACCACGCTGGGTTTGGCTCCAAAAATCTGACAGTGTAAAGGCTGAAACCTCTGACGTCACGGCCAGCGGGTTACAGAATTCATCAGGACCAAAACCAGATCAGTGCAGAATAAGGAAGAGCTGATCTCATGATTCAGGGTTACACTCACCTGTACAGGTGAGCTGTGTTACCTGGAGGTAGGTGGAGCTTGTACAGTAGCTTCAGTTTTTCCGTCATGTCCCCGTGATACATCCCACCTGCAAAACATACACACTAAGACCTGTGGAGCTCTGTAACCTGAAGCTCTAATCTTGACCTGTAATATATAATATGTACTTTGGATTGTCGATCTGTAATCTATTTTCTGAAGTGCTAATCTAGATCTGTAATCTTTCGTTTGGATCACTAATCTATGATCTGCATATGTAATATGTAATCTGAGGCTGTAATCTGGGCTCACTCAGTCCGGTGATGAACTCTTTAAAGTTGACTAGCCCATCCTGGTTCTGGTCCAGCAGCCTGAAGAGGCGGGCCGACAGGGTTGGGTTGTGCCCTCCGCAGACCCAGGGAGCGAGCGAGACGAAGAGCTGACGGAACTGAAGCGGGTCGATGCGGTACTGCTCCAAGTACGGCAGGCTGGGATCGTGACGCTCAGCGGCAGAGCTGCTGGAACCCCAGTAACAGCTGGTCATGTGTTTGGACTGGATCGGCAGAATGGACAAAAAAGGAGGCGGGGTTAGAGGCAGTAACATGCTTGAACATACAGGTAGAGCTATGTTTACGTCACAGAACAGATTTGAAAAAGGAAAAAATGAAGTTCTGACTCTTGCAGGGTCACACAAAAACAAGGTCACTTTCTGTCTGATAAACAGGCGCGGGTTACACCTACATTTCTTCATAAGTAATCAGACGTGATGGAAGCTACTGTTAGACAGGAACAACGAGAACACCGGGAAAGGACACATCAACACTTTGGTCCAGAAGCAGAAACAAGAACATCAAAAGGCCGTGGGAAGGGGTGCTTTCCTTCATCACAGCATACAGCCAAGTGAGGAAGACCCTCCGAGAAGGCTTGCTGTCTCACAGAGCAAACTCAGAGTACCCAGGAGCAGAAAGACTAGAGTGTAAAAGGCTGAGCAGCTCTGGATCAGCCTGCAGGACGATGAGGAGGTTTCGTCCTGTTTGCTGAAACACTTTCTAACAGAATTGGTGAAAAAATGTTTTTGGTTTATTTCACACCTGAACATCAGGTCAGCACAGGAACCGTGTAACAAACATGAACTCACCTTG